GGTTTCACAGGTCGGCGCAACATCGAGGGCCGAAGGGCCTGTACTGCGCTGTAATGTTCTATGTTCTATGTTCTATAGCCCTTTGAACTGTGGTACTAGAGATGAGATGTGGAAATTCTGATAGATACAGCTTTCAAACAGCCAAGGGTCACATAAGCACTGGTTTGGAAATTTGACACTTGGAGAATGCTGTCCCATTGGAAAAATGTTGCTTAACTTTCCCCTGGCCTTCTGACTTCCTTGGCATTTGGCTGGAGTTCTGTTTTATCGAATCTGGAGCTCAGAGGAAAAATGTTACTCCAATTCCAGCATACTTCTGAAAGATCTTTATCAAGTCTCCACACCAGAGAGTGAACTCTCAGGGCAGACCATCTATCCTTGCCTCTCAGTTCTTAAGGTAGATTACTTTTGATTTAGCTGAAAGGAACCAACTTGGCGTCAATCTGGAGTTAAGATGTTCCAGACTGGGCATGACCATTGTTACAATTTCATTATGTTGTTAGTGCATTCTGAGTAAGTGAGTGCTTTAATTGAGACTGCGCAGATTTGGCCTAAAGGTCATGTGTTTTTTAGAAGGTGATCACCTGGGTGTGTAGGTGAAACCCAGACCCCAGAGGTTAGTGTCAAGAGTAAAGGTACACATGATGTCCTCAGGAACTGATGGTGGGCTTTTTACCTTGTAGCACTTGCTGTGCTAAGTCACGAGGATTTGTTTTGTGAAGAGTAAGGGCTTGCCTCTGAGCACTACAAGTTGAGAATATGATGACCCTTAACCAGTGTTTCACTAGTTTGAATTACAATCACTGTCTTGCAGACATCAGTTCAATAATTCCTCACAGTGAGCAGCTCATTCTCCTTGCTCCAGGCTGAGCCATTCATATTCCTATCATTTAGCTTTGCCCCTCTCTTGTCCAGTTTCTAAGTACATATCCTCATTGAGCTGGCCAAACAGGGACCACAACCTATAGATCAATGAGTCATTGTTGGGATTAACACTGACTTCTGCCCAGCCCAACCCTAGGCTGATATGCTGCATTCATTTTCTTGAAGGACCACAATGTAGAGTTTTATGTTTGGAAACGTAAACAATCCTGTGCCGTACTTCATGTATGTTCCTTAACCATCCATCAATCCCTTTTCTTTCTGAAAACTTTGTGTGGGTCTTCTCAAATGCACTATTTTGTCTTCATTCACTTCTCCAGAAACGCACAGCACTTCGTTCACTTCAAAAACAATTTAAAAAAGAGAAGCTTGTGTGTTACAAAGGACAAAAACAAGGAAGTTATGGTGAACCTTCACAAAACACTGGTTTGGATTCAACTGCAGTATTGTGACCTTGTGTTGGGTACTACACTTTAGGAAAAGGGTGTGGAGATATTGGAGAGAGTGGAGAAAGGGTTTCTGAGAATTGTTCCATGGACTTGGGTGGATAGTGAAGCTGGGGCTGGTCTCTTTTGAGAACAGAAAGGAGACATAGGAGAGATGCTAAAAGTCATGATGGGTCAGGACAGAGAGAGCAATTATTTGGTGGAAGGATCAAGAATCAGAGGATATTGCTTGAAGGTGACTGACAAAAGAACTATAAGTGACACGAACAAAATCTTTATGACACAGTGAGAGTTTAGATTTGGAAATGCACTGCCTCAGATTGTGGTGGGGGCAGAGTCAGTGTTATATATCAAAGGGATTTTAATAACTATCTAAAAAGAGAAAATTTGTGAATTGTAGGTAAAGGCAAATTGGGCGATTTGAATAATTCTTGGAGAGACCTGGCATGGACAAATGGATTAAATGGCCTTCTTCTACTGTCAGCACTTTATGGTCTGATACAAATTCAGCTCATAATACAGTTTTTAATGTTACAAAAATGGGTATAGGTCCTTCTAGATTACAAAATTACAGCTTTCTTTTTAGCATTGGTAGTTTACGAAAACAAATGTCCGAAGAAAAATGGGAACTTTTCATTTATTAGATTGAAATGCATGCTGGGAATATATGAAATTTGGTAAGTGATGAATTTTACACTTCCATAAATATTTGTTAAGTCTAAGCAGCATGATTGGCAAATGAAGTATTCTAACATCATTATAAAAGCACCCTAGATAATCACAATATTAATTAAACTGCATATTAAAGTAAGTACAATTTTGTTATTAATTTTTTACTGTACTAGAGGTGACAATTACTCTGAGTTCGTCAGTGTGGAGTCAGGAGACACTTCAATGTGTACTGTCTGTCAGTGCGAAGGGAACACTTCTGGCAGAGTTCTGAATTGAGCTTTGTAAATCAATTACTTTCTTTTTTTCCTATTTTTAAATAACTCACTTGGATTTAGAAATGAAATTTCACTCTGTAATCGTTAGTGGCCTCTTTGCCTCAGTCGTTAGTTAAAATATAATAGGGAACATAAATTGGTATGTGTAAATATCGCTTGTCTTTGGCCAATGAATCTTGGACTGTGATGGTGCAGTGACTCAGGTGGAGAGTATGTTGCCTGCTGGGGACACTACAGAGCAGGAAGTAATGTTCCTGCCCTGGGTCAGTTAGTTAACTGGCCATCAACTGGGACGGAGCGTGTACCCTGGGATACTGGGGAACAGGTGTAGGACCTCACACAGCACTTCACCAGGGGTCCCAAGTGAGGGGCATTTCATTGCATAGGGGTTGTTTTACTGTGGGTGCTGGGGAGTGGGTATTCCACTTGGTGAGTGGGTAGTTCATGAGGTGTGCTGGGGACAGGTGTAGTTTACAGGGAGTTACTGGGAAAGGGGTAAACAGGGGGGTTGCTGGGAAGATGATAGCTTACTGGGGTTTGCTGGGAAGGGGGTAGTTCACTGGGGGTTGCTGGGAAGTGGGTAGTTCACATGGGGTTGCTGGGAAGAGGGTAAACAGTGGGTTTGCTCAGGGAATGGGTGGTTCACTGGGAGGGAGGTTGCTGGGTGAAGTGTTTTATTCCAGGGTGTTCTGGGGGAGGGATGCCGGAGTGCCAATCAAGGTTTTGCAGTGTCTAGTATTCCCTAGCCCTGTTATTTCTGTTACAGTCCTCAGCAAGAGCCCAGTATTGGGACCATTTATATCCAATCACCAACATGGTCCCCTGCTCACTCGGCGGTGTAGCTGTGTCTGTGGTTGGTAGAAAACCTTTGCATTTCAAACTTTCCTGTACGCACAGCAGAGCTCTCTCACCTGTACTGTTCAAATGAGATTGGCAAAGGAAGGTGGGAGGTGGTAATGGAAGAGGAATCTCCTCCTAAAGGTGATGGAAGAAAGCTGACTCCCGTTCTGATTGAAGAACTGGTATGATGCATTCTCTTCTTGTTCCTACCCAGCTGTTGACTGACTTGTTGTGCATTTTCAATATTTATTTCCCATAACTGACTGCAGCAGCTGTGTTAGTGATTGGAAATCAGTGGCAATAACGTGTTCGAAACTACCTTTATCACTGGAATCCTTCAGCCTCATGTCTTCTTGAGCCGGGTAATTCGGTTCAAAGTAATGGAACATTCTGTTAATCTCTTAAAGTGGAAGCTGGTGCCTTTTTTTGTGCAATGGAAGAACATTACATTTTAATTTACTGTGTTTCCTTCCATTTTCAGCAGGACCTTAAATTAGTCCAAAGCAGTTTTCAGCTCATGGAGTATTTTTGAAGCTTAGTCAATCACTATTATAATGTAGGAGACCTGGGAACCAATTTGAATGCAGAAAGCTCCAACAACCAGAGTGTGATAATGGGCAGATAGTCCTTCTAGTTGCATTGGTTGAGGGATAAATATTAGCCTGGATAACAGGAGAACATCACTGGCCTTTGTAAGAGGGACTCAGTTTTATAAAAGAATTACCATCGAACCTCAATTTTGGTACCTCTGAGAGTGCAGCACCTCCCTCATGGAATATCAAATCTTGATTTCTGCTGCTTTAAAGCAGCATTTTCCCAGAGGGTTTGGGATCTCACCATATGGTGTCCTGAAGCTGCCCTTGCTGGGAGTCAGATCTGGGGAAGTTATTTTCCTGGAGACAGTCTCCTAATTGCTACTTTCACGCTCAGTGTTCAGTTAAAGGTGAATGGCACACAGTTCTTGTAGTCCACCCAGAGGGCTTGCATCTATAGATTCTAGGCAGCTCCACCACAGCGATGAGCACTGCTGAGGGAGGTACGAAACTTGGAGGATATGATTAAATTCAAGTTTAGGGATGAGTCTCTCAGTGGAGGTGAACTCCTCCACCAGCACCACCATCCCCCCCAACCCCGCTGTACCCCATCGTGGTGTCAGCATTTGCCTATTGCCTGTGACAGGGTTAGGGTTAGCTGCTGGCAGCTCCCTCTTTTGAGGATGAAGCCTCTTACTTTGGTGGCTCCCTCAGAATTCAGTGAGACCTGCTCTGCCAGTGAACGGATGTGCCTCTAACTGGGAGCCCTAATTTCCAGTCCATCTCCATGCATTGGGCAGGAGGTCCACATCCTGCCTGTCTCTGAGAGACTTCCCAGACAGAGGAATGCATCTGAAGGGTTCAAGGGATATGGGGGGATGGCGGGATTAGGGTATGAGCTGGATGATCAATCATGATCATAATGAATGGCAGAGCAGCCTCAAGGGGTCGAATGGCTTTCTGCTCATATTTTCATAATTTCTGTGTTTCTTAGCACCACTGTCTTGTCAGGCCCACCTCCATGAGGCTGGGAAAATTCAACAGCCACTCCCTTGTGTTTCTGACCCTGACAGGAGAATCCACTGTGTCACAGCTGACAGCTGAAGACTTTGGAAAAGAACTTGCTTCTCATTTCGTAAGAATCTCTTTCTCCCACCTCAACTTGCTTGAGTTTATTTTGGATTTAAAGGTGTTTGCTGGGCAGCTTTATTTATTTATTTATTTACAACTGCCTTGCTGCTAAGGTTTCCAAAGGAAATAGTTTTGAAGGACTGAGCACTTTCTGTAGCTCTAAGCGATTAGGAGGCAGACTTTGCAAAAACTGTTTCCTGAACTTTTGTTCTCGGTTTCAGGCATTCCAGGTGGCAGAGGGGGAGCTGGGAATCCCAGCGTTGCTGGATGCAGAGGACATGGTGGCACTGAGAGTCCCAGACAGACTGAGCATCCTGACCTATGTCTCGCAGTATTACAATTACTTCACAGGCCGGTCACCAAGTGAGTAACCTCCTTTGTGATAGTACATCTGACGTGATTGATTGAAATTGCTTAAACTGTGCTGTAGGTGGAGTGCCTCCAATCCAAGCCCAAGTAAATCAGTTTGGGGTCACCCTCCATTTTGTTCATAGGAAGCCAGCTGATTTGATGGGGTTTAGGAGTGTTCCTTTTTAACTCCCTCCTGCCAAGCAAGAAACAATTGGGAAGATGGTTTCAGTCCCTTACGTCCCATTTCTCGTGTTCACTGACACTCATTGACTCCCTGTTATTGCAACAGCTCGATTTTACAATCTTTAATCTGTTCTTTAATTCACTATGGCTTCACCCCTCCCTCCCTGCTCCAAGGTCTCCAAGAACTTGACCTCTGCTCTTCCCACTCTGGCATCTTGAGCATCCCTGGATTTAATTGCTCTGCCATTCATGGTCATGCTTTCAGCTGCTTGGATCAAGTTCTCAAATCCATCTCTGTGCCCCTCCTTCTCTGTCCCCCTCTATCTTTGTGCCCCTCCATAATTTGATTTAGTGTCAGTTTTTACTCGATAACATTCCTGTGAAGCACCTTTGGGAGTTCTACTACTTTAAATATGATAACAGACGATAAAGTTCCCCAATACAACCACAACAATTGATCTGAATGAAGGTTATATGACATACGAGGCACCTCAATGGCATTTTAACCTATTCCTGAGTAAAATGCGCATGGAGATGCCAGTGAATCTCTCTGAATAAAAACTTTCCCTCGATGAGGACAATGCTCCTCTGGACTCCTCCTGCAAAGCCTGAGAGTGTGCTGCTTTGAATGTCCAACCCGAGCAGATTTGCTTCCCAGTCCTGCTATAACCTGTCATCCTTCCCCGCTCCCTGTCCATCTCCTTGGTTTGATTTGGTGTTGGGGGCTTTCTCACTGATGGGGCCTTAACCAAAGTTGGCCTTCCCTGGAACCCATCTGACCGCATCGCAATGGTTTTTTCTTGAATAAAAGACTTGTGTCATTAGAATTGAGTCCAATAGTTAAAATCTGCCAATTGTGCAATCAATGCTTCAGCATCAAATACCCATTGTTTTGAGGAGGACTTATAATTGGACTGTGTCTGTGGCTATTTAGGCCAATTGACTCTTGTTTTGTTTTATTCCAACTCCTCGAATAGGAAAAGTTTCGAACACAAGGGTGAATTGCTGTGACCCCTTTGCCCACCATCTTTTCTGGCTATAATTTCTGTTCTTCCGTCCACTCTTCACAGTTTTCCTGCCTCCTGTTAACAGACACTGACCACCTCATTCTTCAACAATTCTTCACATCGTCCAATGATTGCTAGATACTGGATGTAGCTTCCTCTTGCCCTTTTTGCACTCAAGTCCAATTCTCAGGAAGATAATGGCCACCTCAAAAGCATATACTAAACTTATCAAATGAAGGGAATTGTATTTTTACAGCGCCTTTCAAATTGTCA